CCCGCATCGGTCACAACAGAAAGGTTTCTGTCCTGTGTGGATCCTCAGGTGTGTGTTTAAGTGTACTTTCCGACTGAATCTCTGTTTGCAAAGGTCACAGCAGAAAGGTTTGCTTCCTGTGTGAATTGTCTTATGCATATTTAACTCGTGTTTTTCAGTGAATGTTTTACCGCAGTCTTCACAGATAAATTCAGTCGTTTTTTTGGAACTCCTTTGTGAGTCTACATTGTTCTCTTTAAAACTTTTCATTTTATCCAGGGAGCTTGAAGGTCCAATTTCTGAGTGTTTCATGTCTTTCTGAAGAAGTTGTACAGCAAACTCAGAAATAAAATGTTTATCAGCCATGTTTCCTTCTGGCTTGGGAGCTGTGACCTTCTTCCAGCTAATTTCCATGTTCTTAGTTTTCAATCCAAAAGCTGCTAACTGTTTTAGCTCAGAGACGGAGAGCTCCACATCACTGTCCTCTTCTGTCTCTGAGGAAATGGACCCATCTTCATGATCTTGTATCCTCATGGATTCTTCTCCTCCATGGTTCTCTACTGGAAGCTCTCTGCCTTTAATGTGGTGGTGGTAAAGCTGTGGGAGCACAGAGGAATGTTTATCATCCTCACTCTTTATTGGAGCAGCAGTGATTGGAAACTTGATGGCATCAATCTCCTCCTTGAGACCGAGCTGCTCTCCCCCCAGACTGGTGCAGACTTCCTCCTGTTCCTCCTTTATGTGGTGGGGCTCTGGGTCATGCAGGTCAGGAGAAGGTTTGTGGTCTTCAGGAACTTCTTCTTTAACCGTCTGCTTAAGATCTGCAGGAAACATTAAAAACATTAACAAGTGTTTAGATCTCCCCATGGACTGAGTCCATTTTAAATCAAAGACATTTAAGTTTTATGTTTTATTTTACGCTGAATTTGCTGCTTTACTTGTAATAAAGAGAAGGTGATTGGCTGCAATCTTCTATCTCTACAGGATGTGTACACCTCCAGGACTCTGAGGCGTGCAGCGAAGATTGTGGCTGATCCCTCGCACCCCAGCCGCAAACTATGTCAGTCACTTTCCTCTGGCAGGAGGCTGCGCTCCATCAGGACCAAAACCTCACGCTCTTCCAATCCGCTACCAGCCTGATCAACAAGGCCCAGAGACCCCCATCACCCTGACCCTGCCTCCCTCCCCCGTTCATGACCTAGAAGCTACACCAACGTAGCATCTCCAGATCTCCTGCATTACATTAATGCACAGCCTACTGTGTATATAGTATATGGCTATATACCATATGTTCTATATAGTAAATATATATATCTCCTTGTAAGGTCAAACCTACTTGGCAATAAATCTGATTCTGATAATGAATTTCGATGATATCTTTTTTTTGTCTAAACTTAATCAAAATCTTCCCATCCAGCACCTGTTTGTCTCCTCAGGCTCACCACCTGTAGGAGGAGCCAAAGGGGTCGGGTGCAAGTGTGATGGGTGGCAGTCGAGGGCGGGGATCTTGGCGTTCTGATCCTCGGCTGAAGAAGCTGGCTCTTGGGACATGGAATGTAACCTCTCTGGTGGTGAAGGAGCCTGAGTTAGTGCGCGAGGTTGAAAGGTTCCAACTGGAGATAGTTGGACTTACCTCGACGCATGGCTCTGGCTCTGGAACCAGTCTCCCTCAGAGGGGCTGGACGTTCTTCCACTCTGGGGTTGCCCCTGGTGAGAGGCACCGAGCAGGAGTGGGCATTCTTGTTGCCCCTCATCTTGGAGCCTGGACGTTGGGATTCACCCCGGTGAACGAGAGGGTTCCCTCCCTCCGCATACGTGGGGGGGACGGGTTCTGACTGTTGTTTGTGCTTATGCTCCAAACAGCAGTTCAGATTACCCACCCTTTTTGGAGTCTTTAGAGGGGTACTGCAGAGTGCTTCTACTGGGGACTCTTCTGGGGAACTTCAACGCTCACATGGGCAATGACAGTGAGACCTGGCGAGGCGTGGTTGGAAGGAATGGCCCACCTGACCTGAACTTGAGTGGTGTTCTGTTGTTGGACTTCTGTGCTCGTCATGGATTGTCCATAACAAACACCATGTTCAGGCATAAGGGTGTCCATATGTGCTCTTGGCACCAAGACACCATAGGCCGTACTTCAATGATCGACTTTGTTGTTGTTTCATCTGACCTTCTGCCGCATTTCTTGGACACTTCAGTGAAGAGAGGGGCGGAGCTTTGTTTTAAAAACAAAGCAGAGTGTGTATGACGTCATCTAGAATAAATCAGAACAAACGACTCCACAGCTGAAGAAATCTGGATCTCATAGCTCTGTCCTCTGTTCCTTAGTGGTTTTCCAATGGGGCCATTTAAACAGTTAGAAACTGAAGGAATAAAGCCCCCAACAGGCTCCAAATCATGATAACTGACAGAGAATGAAGGATTGTGGTCCTTCACTGAACCTACCAGGTAGATCCGGAGGTTTCTCCTCTTGGTCCAGAGCTCCAGACTCAGAAACATCTCCAGCAGAGCTGAACAAGCTGGACTCTCCTGTGTCTGAAGACAAACACCAATGAAAGCAGTGATGTTGTAGATTGTGGTTGCTTTAATAGAGCAGCAGGGGGCGCCGTCAGATCCTCTGTCAATGTTTCTGTGTTTTCTCACCAGGGTTGACAGCAGTGAGGCTTTTTGCGTCGACCGTCTCCACCAGGCTGCTGACGGCGCTGTCAAAGCTCATGATTGGATCAGCAATGAAGGGAACTGAAATCAAAAGCAGGCGAACGCAGCATTACAGGTTGGACCAGGTGAGACCTTCTCTCAAACTGCAAGAACCAGAATATATAATTCAATATTTGTCATCAGCAGGTTTTATTATTTCTAGTTAATGTGGGGATTTATAAACTGTTTCTCTATAGTTCATAAAAATGTTTCAGTGCAGCAATAATGATCAGAGCTGCTCTCTGTTCCTTCTACATAACAATCCATTCTACCTGCTTTTTTAATGTTTTAAACATTCATTGATATTTATTTATTTTTCCTCTGCAGAGCGATGGCAGCTTGCAGGTAGAGTCTGTCTCCCCATTAAAACTCCTGGATCAGCTTCTCTGATTGGTTGACGCTCCAGCAGCTAAACTTCAATTTACTGAACTCCAGCGTCGGACGCTTTGATGCCAGAATGCTTAGACTAATTTTATTTCTTCACATGTTCCGCTCCTGACACTGCTGGACCTCTCCACGCCGTCCCCCATAGACTTTGCGGGTAAACCAGATGTTCTGACGCCCAGATGGCGCCCGGTGTGAACGCAGCATGAGGTCTGAGCTCAGACCATGTCGGCGTCTCACTGCATCGTCACCGAGTCCAGAGATCCTTCAACTGATTTCCAGATAAACTGACTGAAAACGTTTCCCGGGTTACAGGGAGCCAACCGACTGATTTTCTGTTTTAATCATCATTTCTATTTCAGTCACAGCAACGTTCCAAAGGAGATCTAAGTGTTTTACTTCTTTTTTTTCGTTTTTAGAATAAGCGATATTTACACAAATTATTGCCTAATCGGAAGTTATTTTATTTGCACATATACAGGACGGATCGTGCTTCAGCGAAGGATCGCTCGTGAGGGACGGATCGCGCTTCTGCGAAGGATCGCGCGTCAGGGACGGATCGCGCGTCAGGGACGGATCGCGCGTCAGGGACGGCGAAGGATCGTGCGTCAGGGACAGGTCGTCCTTCTGCGAAGGATCGCGCTTCAGGGACGGATCGTCCTTCTGCGAAGGATCGGGAAGTGACATGAAATTCAGTTGACTGACTTACAGAAAATCCTCCAATCAGAAACCATGAATCATTTTATGAATGGAATCTTTGTTAAAATCAATCGTCACGCCTCCTACTTTAGTTTTTTCTATTCAAACCAAACTATGTGGAACCAAAATCCAACACGCACCTCAGCCTGTCGTCCGTTAGAACTGGTTCAAACCAGATAAAGCAGGCCTGAGGAGGGAGGAAGCGACACGTCGCTCTGAGGCCTGGAACCGTCTGAACCTGGAAAACAAGATGCAAGAAAACCGACAGTTAAAGGAAACAAAATGAAATCAGTGGCAAAAGATAAATCTGCCATTAAATCATTAAATGTTATGAAAAATTATTCATTTCATTATTTCATTGATGCCAAAAAGAGCCCAACAGATTTTACTTTCACCAGTGGAGCAGTACGGCTATCGCCATAGTGTTCCGCTTGATTCATGCATATAAATTGCGTTATTATAATTATGCAGGGAGTTTTACAGAATATATGGACACTGGAATGTAAATAGAACAGGTAAGGAAAACCGAGAAAAAGGAGAAAAGATGAAAGAAAGAGGAGATAAAAGGGAGATAATGATAAAACTTCAGTCTGCAAAGAGAAAAAGAACAGAACAACCAACAGACATGGAAGGAGACATACAATAAAGTAACACCTTGCTATCGCTGAAGTAGTATTATTTAATCTGAGATGTATTCTGTGTTACCTGAATATCAGAATATGGGCTTTCTGTGTGGAAGTGAATCTCTGAGTACCTGGAACCAAGAACCTGAATATATATATACTATATTTTAAGTTAACAAACCGGGTCCTCTCGCCGTTCCTTTTCCTGTTTGGTGTTATGCAATTATGGATCTTGACCTAAAAATAGCTCAGTGTTTTGATGGAGAAGGGCAGTGAGGATGTAGGAGGACGGTGGCGTGTGGAGGAGTAGCGGAGGATGTGCAACAGCTTTCATTGGCTAACATGACAGACAATCAGGACGTAGGTGAGCGGAGCAGAGCGCTGACGGAGCGGAGCGCTGACGGAGCATGTGGAATCTTGGGGTTAGAAAGCGAATCTGCATCAGAGCAGAATGGCTGGAATCTAGCAGCTGCTGTAACAGTGAACTAGTGGAAGAAACATTGAAGTTCCTCTGGTTTGCTGCATCTTCATCACACTGACAGAAAATCACAAGTTAGGAAAAAATAAAGACGTCATAAATCCCTAAATGGTGTCAAAGTGGTTCCAGAAAGGGCCGCGTGGCTGCAGGCTTTCATCTCATCAAGTCTGGAGCTGCTGGTTGGTTGTAGAGGAACCCTGCAGCCATGCGGCCACTTCTGGAACCACTTTGACCCCCCCTGCCCTAAATGGACGATCCTCTATGAATCAGTTTGATTTGACTGCTTAGACTTATCTTAGAGAAAAGGGCAAACTTTAATTTTCATCCACAGAGCTACAGCCATGCACACGGGGCTTCACTGTGTTGCCATAGCAACGCCTGCTTTCCCTTTCTGTAGCGGGAAAAAGGCTGTCCCATTGTGGTTTCTACCCCCACCTTCAATCAAGGTGCTTACTATCCATAGTTTGGTCTGTAAAACGTTGGAAGATGTGAAGCGGCGTCAGTCAGCAGCTCCAACCACACTACACCACAGCACGCTCCAACTTCACCTCATCAGGGAGGCTCAGCCAATGGGAGGCAAGGAAACGGCAGGACGTCTTCAGGGCTTTAGAATTATAATAATAAACACAGAGGCACTGTATATATCCCATCATGCACCTATTGCTCCTTTTAGCTCCTCCTTCTTCTTCTTCTTTGACTATCTGAGCTGATGGAAGGAGGGAATTCTCCACTGTTAATCAAGTCAATCAATCAATCAGACACCTGTCTCCATGGAAACGGCATTTTTTCCACAGTTTGGAGCTGACAGTTCAACTAAAATGATAAAACAGCCGCACAGAAACCATGAAATCAATAAGTAAATTGTGAAAATATGAAAAATATATGTACATTTATTTGTCTTTTAAAAATAAACCTTTTTTATTTAATATCATATTGAAAAGGGAAATTTAAATATGTAATGGAACAGTTATTAGCTTTTCATGAAATATGGTAATAGTACAGCTTAATTGTTTATCAATTAATAAAATAAATAAGATCTTTATTTTATTTCATGGTCAATTTAATTTTTTTATAGAATGATTTCTCTCAATAGAGGCTAATTTAGCTGCTAACTCCAGGAACATCAGTCAGACCTTCCTGTTAGCTGTTAGCTCCATCACTGTGCTGCTAGAAGCTTTACTCATAAACTCACCGCTGCTCTGCTCATAAATCCGGGTAGAAACATCCAGTAGATGAAGGTAAAGATGTAGAGTTGATGACTGGATAAAAACTAAACAGCTGAAAGAACCAAACATCATTTTTATCAACAAACTCCACCTCGTTTTCTCTTTACATCAATATTAGCACAACTTCCTGTTTCCCAACAAACTCCTCCCATTTCCGGGATATTGACCAATCAGAGACCAATAAAGTTAGCGTCTTTCTTTTTCATTGCTTTACATTAAATTCTATTTTTTATTTTGTACTCTGTCGATAAATAAATAATGCTTTTCTTATTCTGTGAATATCCTTTATATATCCTTCATTTCCCAATATTCCTTTCAGATTCCATTCTTAGATTTAGATTTATTTAGTCATTTTTGTATACACGAGTAAATTT